TTGAAATCTCAGGATTCTCCAGCCACATTGAGGAGAGGCTTCATTCTGAGCTTTGGTGGAGCCAGGGTTTCCTTTCAGTCTGAGGTAGAGTGAGACCTAGTGCCCAGCTGCTTTGCTTTTCTGATCTTCATCTTGAAGCTTGAACCCCAATGCCAGTCTCTGGGTCTTTTATTTTTCTTGTTCCAGTTCAGAAAATCCCTTTGCCATGTATGCTACAACCATATGTTTCAGTGATTAAGATGTGGATATGTTTGGGAGGTAACCAAAGAGTTCAGTTCCCTAATTCAAAATGTGGAGCTTTCCAAACACCTGAGTCTTCAGACTTCCTGAAGAAACCCCACAGTTCACTTAACCATTCTCAGTCCCTTCATTGTTTCCAAGGAAATTATCATTGATCCTATCATTGGAGGATGCTTCTTCTTCAAGACAAATACTATTTTAGAGATATAGATGCTATTAAGGGAATAGTGCATGGTGCTTCCTTCACTGTATACCACGTAACTCCATCAGCTTAACAAGAATATCCATGGCATCTCTAGTGAGCTTCCTTCAACTATGCAAACGTCAGTACTTTGAAACAACCCTCTATCCTAGACAAGTAGCTGTCTAGGATAAACCAGAAACCATAACCACAGGATGTCTGTCTCCACTCAGAAGCCACAGGAAGCATTCTGAAGCAGAGACACAAATGGAGCGATTTTTCAAAGCATGTCCAGTCCATAGTCAACCTGTTTGTTTTCATTTTGTCCTCCATTTTTAAAATTAAATTAGAAACAAGATTGTTTTACATGTCAATCCCAGTTCCCTCTCCCTCCCCTTCTCCCGTGCCCCCCACTAACACCCTACCTATCCCATACCCTTTCTGCTCCCCAGTGAGAGTGAGGCCTTCCATTGGGAGTTCTTCAGAGTCTGTCACATCCTTTGGGATAGGGCCTAGGCCCTCCCCTGTGTGTGTAGGCTAAGGGAGTATCCCTCTATGTGAAATGGGCTCCCAAAGTCCATTCCTATGATAGGAATATGTACTGATCTACTGCAAGAAGCCCCATGGATTTCCCAGGCCTCATCACTGACACCCACATTCATGGGGTTTGGATCAGTTCCATGCTGGTTTCCCAGTGATCAGTCTGGGGGCCAAGAGCTCCCCCTTGTTCAGGTCAGCTGTTTCTGTGGGTTTCACCAGCCTGGTCTTATGTACTTTGCTCATCACTTCTCTGCAACTGGATTCCAGTTCAGTTCAGTGATTATCTTTGGGTGTCTGCTTCTACTTCTATATGCTGCTGGATGAAGGCTCTAGGATGGCATATAAGTCAGTCATCAATCTCATTATCAGGGGCAGGCATTTAAGGTAGCCATTGTTAGTTGGTGTCATCTTTGTAGATCTCTGGACATTTCCCTAGTACCTGATTTCTCTTTAAACCTATACTGGCTCCTTCTCTGATGGTATCTCTTATTTTTCTGTCCTCTATTCTTCCCCCTACACAACCTTCCTGCTCCTTTATGTCCTCCTCACCCCTCCTCTTCTTCCCTTCTCATTCTTCTAGCTCCCTCTCCCCTCCCCTATAGTAGTAATTAGATCAAGAGTTCTTGTCCTTTTACAGTTTGGAGTAATACAACATTAAGCACCTCTCTCAAATGCATTCACCAAAGTATGCTTTAAATTTTCACACTTAATATACTTAAACTAATTTAACACACAAACATCGTACTGAGTACTACCAAATCAATTAATTAAGGATAATAGAAAAGAAGTAATTTTTACTTTACCTAATAATATATGCTCAAAAATTTGCATATGAAATACTGAACAGGTGCTTAAAATATTTTTCCTTTATTTTCATAACCATGTATGTCTCTCTTAGGGTCCTCCTTGTTGCCTAACTTCTCTAGTGGTGTGCACTGTAGGCTGGTAATTCATTGCATAGTCAACCCTTTCAGCAGAGGTGAAATGATTAGTCCCAGGCATCCTGCATTCAGTGCCCCAGTATCATGCAGCTGACCAATTTACTTGTCACTGCTTATTGTGGTATCCTTAGCATGACTTGGTTGTCAATTATCACTTGCCAAGTCACTCTCTGGCTCCATGTGTCTCCAATGAACATGGTAATTAATCGCCAGTCTATAGTAGGACCCAGGATATCTTCCAGGCCTTACTTACTGAGAAGAATCCTATGAGTCACTAGAGACATGCTGCTTATTCAGGATTATGCATGGCTACATCTATCATATAGGTAGGAGAAATTCCTGAAAGAGGTTGAGTGTCTGGAATGCCTTTGGTCCATTCATCCAACAGGTCTTCCACAGAACTCATTACAGGAATGATGCTTAGAATTCTGAGCTTTATCCTTGTGCCCTGTACCCACTTCATTTTTTCCTCTATTCTGTTCCCATTTTACTAGACTCTGGACACATGGCTGAGTTGTAGAGAGCCCGGGGATTCATTATATTGGATTTACCACATGATTTCTATCTGGATCCTTTCAATGCTCTTCACTTATTGATGTCTTCCTGTCTATTCTTTAGCCCCAGTTCTTGGATATTGTTTTTATAGAATCTATGATCCACAAAGAAAAGAGGGAAATGTTCTATTGAGATTTTGGCATTGAAAAGCATCTGTCCATATTATATATGCTTATTACAAAGGATGTATATTTACACAATAATTCATGTTAATAGATGTTTATTTCAGTCTAACAATCAAATGGCAAGTGGGGAACAACCTCTTCGTCTGCTTAGATGACAATGGCTGGATTAATTAATTATGTCACACAAATACTTTAGAATTCCAGAACATGGCAACAAAATTAAGATAGACCTACAAATGCTATTGTGGGAAAATGTTCATCTATTTTATTAAGTGTCTAAGGCAAGTTGAAGATCAATAAGTACATCATTGCCCATCTATATTAAAAAACATATTTTCATAGTAAAACTTGTATGAAAATTATAGAAATAAGCTCTAAACTAATAAATATCAGATTAACCATTGTGATCTTAGAGGAAGGGACTGAAATATTAAAGTGAGAATTATAACATATTTATATTCTTAGGCTGTTTTACAACTAGAATAAAACGACTACTTTTTGCAACTAAAATGTTTAAGTAAGTCTAACTGAAAAATGATTAGTTGTGTATCAGGTGAAGTAACTACTAACAGATGAACACCAATTGGAATTTGAAGCGTCAACACAAGAAAATATTCTTTGAGAACATACATTCATGGGACTGACATGCTTTCTTCTACACTATGGAAGCATCTAAGGACCTCTTCTCTCAAATGCACAGACAGCCAGGTGGCTTTCATCTTGAGGTTCCATCATGTGAACATGGGGCTGCCATACCTGCTGTTGAGAGGACAGTGAATAAATGTCAAGTCAAACTACTCCCAAATGCCTGTGTATGACAAACATATCATGATAAGGAAAAGTCCCATGCCTCCTCATAACAATGTGTATCATGGTGTTACCTTATTCCCAGATAAGAAATATGAAGATATACATGGAACTGGAATCCTCACACAAGCTGTTACATCATAAATATTCTTCCAAAAGCAACTGATACAGTTTGTGAGGCAACAACAGTGTCTCCTGACACTGTTTCTGACCAGACTTGCCTTGACTTTTTATAAATTCTGTAACAGCTGTTTTTTATTTTAATTTTTTGTTTGTGTTTTGAAACAGGATCTCATATATGCAAGGCTGTGTGGCTAACCTTGTACTTCTGATCCTTCTGCCTGTACTTCTTTTTTAAGTAATTAATTAAATACTTGGGACATTTTATTTGTATTTGACTCTAGGGTATGAAAATAAATTGTATTCAAACTGTCTATTTGTGCATAAATAGTATGTCAAATTTTGTGAAAATTTAAAGAATTGATACCTATATATCACATAATATGAAGTGTTTCTATCTTTGTTCAATTATAATCTGTTGTACTTCATACAATTTAAATAAAACATGGAGATTAAAAACTGGCTGAATTTCTTTCATGACGGACTAGCTGAAAAGACATACATTATGAATAACACAACTCCATTTCTCCTGTAACACAGAACATGTCAGTGAAAGGAAATTGAACTGATTGTGATCAAATATGGTGAATGTAGCAACTGCAAAATATTGTTTAGCAATGGCTAAATGTTATCATGCATGTTTCTAACATTGTTCATATACAACTTTTCAAAATTTTCTTTGTAGCAAATAATACTTAGAGCTGTGTGTTAGTATCTGATTTTTTCTTTATTCTCCTCTCATACTTTGCATCCTGACCACAGTTTTCCATCCCTCTACTCCAAGTGCCTCCACCCACCTTTCTCTCTCCCAAATCCATTACTCTTTCATTTCCCTTCAAAAAAGAACAGGGCTCCCAGGAATTTCCAACAAAAATGGCCTAACAAGTTACAATAAGACTAGGCACAAACCCTTATATGAAGCCTGGATGATGGAACTCAGTAGTAGAAAAAGGGTCCCAAGTGCAGAAAAAGGATATAGAGACAGCTCCTACTCCCACTGTTGGGAGTCCCTCAAGAACACCAAAATATACAACAAAGGGCTGGAATTGCAAGTATGTACTACCATGCCTGAATTTGAGCAGATATTTTTAAGTCTTACATTATCCACATCATTTGAAGGCATCATAGGAAAGATAACAGAAAATGCCCATCTTTTTCAGTCAATGGCAGTTTTCTGTAGCACACTCTGAAATTTTACCCATCCTAGGGGAGGCTGAGAATTTTCTCCTTCAGATGATTCTTCACCTGTGAGTCTCACTATGCTCCACATGACCTTTCTTACTTGAACACCTGAATGGGTGCATTAGTCACACTGACAGGCAGTAATTTCCCATGGGGGAGTCTCTAGACAGGACACAATGAAAGCATGATAAAATATGTTTTCTTTCCAATTTGGAGCTAACATGTCTACAAAGGAATCATTTTTTACCTCAAAAGAGGATGGTAGTGTCTTTAGGAACTTAGGTTCATTAGACAGTTGCTGTACATCTTTCACTTGAGGGGGCATTCAGGCCTGATCATGTGAAGAGGCATGTCCATCTTCTTATACACCCAGTTACCAGCTGCTAATGTGACACTCAGTAAAACCCTATTGCAACCATACAAATTCTCAATCAAAGTCTACTTCTGGATCACCGAGATGCAGAATGGGTAGGCTTTGGGGTAGAGAAGACCAGGTACATAAAATCACAGACTGGACAAGGTTTATAAAATTACATCTCTGATCAGGGGCCATAGCTTTCCAGGGATAAAGGTGAGTTATGAAAGAGACACGAGACTTCTGCAGGAATCAACAATATTCCAGAGTCCCATGGAGGGTAAAGTATCCTTTCTAGTTTCCAAAGGAGACAGAAAGGAGGTCAGACAAAAGGGCAGGGTGCAGAATTGGAAGGACAGGCACAAAGCATGAACAAGGGATTCTCTTTCCTTTAAACAATGCCTTTACTCTGTGGAAAGTGTGCCTTGTTCATGAAAGATGCATGCTGTCCACTTTTTATCTTGAAAATCCTAACTATTACTGATATCTTGAGGTTGTTTGAGAAGGATTAGGTGGTGGTATTTACATTTTAGCAATTTTTGTGAGTACCTTTGAAAAATTTGTAGCATCTGTATTCCTTATATGTCAGATTCTTTCCCACCCCCAAGTGCTAAAAAGCACAGCCTGTATCTCAAGGGCCAGGGTATAATGGTGCTCATTCCTTATCCAATAGGCAGCTAATTTCAGGTGTGCTTATACAGGGCTAATGGATACTTGGCAGTGACCCTCAGCTCCTGCTCAGAAACTTCCTGGTGACCTCTGTTGGGAGTGCAGACCCAGGGGAAAGGAGTCTCCTGCTTCCAGATACCAGATTTATGTGAGGTGACACCAGCAGGTCAGTTTCCATACCCTTTGATGCCCACGTGACTGAGGGCATGAAAATGTTGCTGCTGTCTCCATGAAATGGCAAGGAGGACCCAATGGTGTAGAAGCCAAGGCCCTGAGAACACAGCCCAAGGTTAGAAAGCTTAGCACACAGACTCCGGGATCAAATTTAAGATGTTTGTTTACCACCTCGAGATCTATTTTTATTTAGTAAGAACAAAACTTGGTTCATTTTGGAAAAAAATTCTGAATTTTCTGTCTTCTAAATTTAAGATGTTTATTTACCAACTCGAGATCTATTTTTATTTAGTAAAAACAAAACTTGGTTCATTTCGGAAAAACTTTCTGAATTTTCTGTCTTCTGTGGCCTGTGACTTTATGAAGTTGTTTTGTTTTTGAACAGCACACAGAATATACAAGTGTTTTCTTTCAGGATGGAATAGCAGGGAAAATACAATGACATCATATAGCCATACCTGAGGTACCGTGAGGAGCTACTGGGCACATGCCCCGTAGCTAAAGGAGGGACTGTAGCATTATCCGATGTGCCCTCTCCACATGGGACACTTGTCTGCTGAGGTGGACAGTTGTCTGGGACACTTTCAGGGATGTTGCTCTGATTGTATGTACTAGAAAGCCGGGTGGAAAGGTTGCCTGCTGGTGTCTGGTTGTTGGGCCCCCGCTGCTGGGACTTCATGCCATCGTGCTCTCTCTTTTGGAACCATTGGTAAAGTCCGGGAGGTAAAAGCTTCACCTTCTTTGGATCCTGCCCTTGTTCAACCGCACTTGGGACTGGAGATGTTGCCTTGCTCACCCATTTCTTCCTCCTAATAATCTTCAGGAGCTCTGGTTTGTCTCTCTGAAAGTTGAAGGTTCTGTAGACCTGAAACAAAATGGCCTAGGTAAGCCAATTGGTAATACAGCTACAGCGACCCCACCGAATTACACTGGTCATTTTTGAGGTGGAGAAAATGACTGAAGTGGCTGGGGAGAGGGGGTATGTGATGACAAAGGACCCCAGTAAAGAGAAATGATTCATAGGTGAAGGTGGTGACTATATATGTGACACTAACTAGCTTCTCGGGGACTGTCTGCCTCCCTGCAGACATCTAAGGGGCAGCGCGGAGTCGAAGTCTCTTACCTTCACCAATCAGTAAACAACATCCCTGCTAAATGAGGAGCTTAAAGCACTTTACTCCTGGGGTGTGCAGATAGGAAGATGATCTCATCAGCACAAGTAGGAGACAAAGAACAACTTTGTACTTTACCATCATTTTTCTGTTCATTCTAAACTGGAGTGCAGAATCCTTTGGGCAAATCTTACTGAACCCATACGGGTAGAGCTGGCGAATGAAACGCTCCAGGATTTTCGTTTCAAAAATCTTCCATGCAGCTCTGCAGTGAAGGACCTCTCTCTGAAACATGTCTACCTTAATCATGATGCTGTCTCTGTTGTCACTCCAGTTCAAAGACTGGAAGGCCTCATTGTGTACCATGGTCCAGAGCTTCCTGGGGAAGGGCAGTAGAAAGAGGTTGGTGTTACCTTCCTCCTTGGCTGTATGTTGGCTCTGTTCTTCAGGTTCCAGGCTCTCTTGGACAGCTTGACCTTGTGTCCCGACAGTTGTCACCAAACTGTCTCTTGTATACACCTGTGACTCGGAAGAATTATATTTTGTCTCTTTTTCTGGCTCTTGCCCAACAGGTAGGACCAGCTTGGTGGCAGAGTCCATGCCTACACTCTGACTGGACATCAGAAATATTCTGGACTGCAGACCACTAAACATGCCTCAAGATAGTCCAAACTGCCTTTGCTTCCACTAGAGATGCCCAACAAATAGTGGCCACTGAGTTCTAGAGTTTACTGGGGGACAACTGTTGTGGAATAATCTTTTTGTACACTGTGAAGATGTGTCACTCTGATAAGCTGAATGACCAATAGCTCAAATAGCTAGGCAGGATTTCCAGGCTTGGAAGAAGGCACAGTTGCAAGGAGATGCAGATCAAGCAAGATGGGAAGTACAGAGATGAGGTAATAAAGGCATGAGGCCAAAGTAAATTAATAGAAAGGTGTTTAATTTAAAAGAGCTAGTTAGAATCAAGCCTCAGCTAAGGCCGAGCTTTTATGATTAATACAATTAATTTTATGATTAATACATGGAGATGTCTTTTTTTGTGTGTGAGCTGGTGGCCCAAAGAAAAGCCCAACTGTACATATGGCACCCAATGTCCAGATATAATTCTTTTGCTGAAAAGAGTGAACAAATTAGTTCCAGTTTCTAGAAAAGGATTCTTCTGTGTGTCTACAAGCACATTCTGTTAAGGATTATTATTGTATCAGCTAAGAAACAGAATCCTTTTTTTCTCCCACTTCTAAATGGAGGACAGTTGTTACCTCTTTCTATATGCTTTATTAAAGTATCTGTTCTCAGTTCAAGCTTGGGTATCATGAAGATTAATTGTGACACATAGGTCCCTAGGTGACTGTTCTTTCATTATAATGTGGCCTAGTCTCCCTTGATACTTTCACACTAACTCCCCCACATCTTCTCACATTGGTTTCTTCAAATTGTTTCTTCCGGTTTCTTGGATCTACTCAGATAAATCCAAATAAAGAATGTGATTGTCTCCAGAGTATGGTTGTTCACAAGCATGGAAATACATGTGTGGTTCCACTTCATCCTCAGTGGTAATGTGACTCCAAACCCTGTTATGTTACTGACTGGTCACATCCTCAGCTGTGCTTTGAATTTACATGTGGGGTTCTGCTTGCAACTCAGTGTCAGTCTTTTGTGGATGATAAGGAAATGCCAGTAGTTTCCACTTCTTCCTGACAGAGTTCATTTTCATGGCCCAAGACATGCTCATTTTTTGATACCTGGTTTTCAAATGCTCTGTTATAATCAAAGCTCCTACTTGTTTAGCAAGATGTAACTAAATCAATTGAAACCTGATGGCCATTAGTGTGCATTTGTTGATTAGAAGAGTCATGGGGTTAGGAGGCTTCATGGGATCCTTAAGAGGCTCTTCTCATTCTCTACTTAAATAATTGCCTGGAGTTGGACTTTTTGGTAGAGTATCTGTCTGTTTATAGCCCAAGGGGATTCTTCAGTTGTGTGATTGTTTTTTTTGTGTCCAAAGCTCTGGGTAACACTCTTCTTTGCTTTAGCCCTTTGGGGGCCCATCCATGACGTGAACGATGTTTCAAGGGTATGCCTATTCCTTGGTTGTTCATGGTACTGCCCATGAGTGTAGCTGCCTTTGAGTCATCTATGGTTCTATAGTGACCTCAATAAATTCATCAGTTCAAATACTTGGGCAAGTGGAGTTATTCCTTTGGTCTATCAGTGTCTTCTATATCTGTGGTGAAAAATACTTTCTTCTCGTCATTTTGGAAAAAAGTCATGTGACACAAGGTGTAAAGCAGTGATTGACAGAATAAAAGATGACTTAAAGGCATGGACAGTCTCTCTTCCCTGGAATGGAATGGTGTGTCTCTTTTATGTTAATAGTTGTGTGGCCTCTGTTATAGATTATAAGTTATGCAATTGACTTTGAGCTAATATTTGAAGTTACCCAAGGAAGAATACAGTAGGAAATAGACATTTAAAGTTAGGAACATAAGGGGAAATAGACAGAAGAGCCCTTCATATGAAACAAATGCCTATGTGACAAGATTTACATGAAACCACAGTTCCTAGGTACACAGAAAAACTTAATGCTGTACTTGGGAGCCTCTGGAAGACTTTACAGCCTGAAAGATTGTCTTCTAGAAGTATGAATGAAAAGAAACTGATGCCCATTGCACCCTCCTTTGGAGGAAGGTGCTCTCATGGGTTGTAACTTACTCTAGTTCCTCCCCTAACTGCATGATCAAAGTTGCATGAAGTAAGGATAACACAGGGAAACAAGAATAGATTCATGGATACTTTGCTGATGTGAAAACATTTGGCTTTCACAGATAGTGGAGTTATATTAATCCACAGCAACCCAGAAAGCCCCAGGAACAATGGGTGACAGTTGATGTATATGGGGAAAGCTTAAGCCAGCCCTAGAAGTCAGTAGTTATCCCCTCTGAGAGTATACATTTCTCCCCTGCAAGTAAAGCTAAGGGGCCATGCATAGTGATGCAACACACTTTGCCTACAATTGTCACAGAGCTTATGCCTAAGGGTGTAAATAAAGGCAGTTGTGGATGCTTGGGTGAAATGGGAGCCTAGATAAGCCCAAGACTTCTCAACAATGAAGTGTGACTAGTGTGGTGACCAGAAGGCACACAAATAATATTATCAGAGTTATTAGGATCAGAGCCTGTGTTCTAGCATGCTCAAGTGAGATCTGGACATTCATCCTCAAGTAGGACAATCAATGAGAAAACTTAATAGTTAAAAGATGAGCAAGGAGATTTACTCATTGTCTTCATTGGGAAGAGAAACAGAGACCCAGTAATTACATCTCCAAGTCTGTCTTCACAATCCTAAAATGAGGTTAAGGTTTCAATAGAAAGCAAAAGTCTGTGTAACTAATCAGTTGGGTCTAGGTGTGTGGCTTAATTGGAATTTCTATTTCTGAGTGCTGAGATGATCAAACACCATGACCAAAAAGCAAGTTGGGTAGAAAGGGTCTATTTGGCTTATACTTCCATATTGCTGTTCATCACTTAAGGAAGTCAAGACAGGAACTCACACAAGGCAGGAACCTAGAGGCAGGAGCGGATGCAGAAGCCATGCAATGTTGCTGCTTACTGGCTTTCCTCTTGTAGTTTGCTTAGCCTACTTTCCGATAAAGCCCAGGACTACTAGTACAGGTAATAGCACTCTGCACA